AGCCCAGGCGAGCCTCGCGACTGCTTTCTGCGCTGCTGCTGCTTCCCATGCCGCTGCTCTCTCCATTGATGCTGCTGCCCCACTTGCCGCCACCTCCACTGCTGCTGCTGCTGCTGCTGACTTCAGTGTTGCTTCTTTCCCCAATGCTGCTGCTGTCTCCAGTGCTGGGTTATTCAATGCCGCTTTTCCCAATGCTTCTGCTGCCCGCCAGCTGCCCGTGAAGCGGGCAAGGGAGGACTACGGCAGGCTTCTGGTGTCAAGTCGGGCTGGGAGTGGGTGGGCCAGCCGCACGCTGCACCACTCGCAGTCCTTGGAAGACCATTTCCAGCAGCAGGGGGGAGAGAGCAGCGGAGTGCAGGCAGCGCTGTGGTCTCGCGTGGGTTCAGAGAGCGCCCTTCCAGATGATGTGCTGCTGGGATTCAGCAGCGAGGACCCTAGCGTCAGTGTGCCGTTTGCAGCACTGCCAGCGCCACTTCCAGCCGCTCTCTCTGCCCAGGCAGCTCTGCCAGCGCCTCTTCCAGCGCCTCTGCCAGTGCCTCTGCCCACCCAACTCACAGCTCCTACTGGATCTGTTCCCAGGGGAATTCGCAGCTGCTTGGGAGGGACGCTCTCCTTTGAGAATGGTTCTGCGGGACAGGAGATGTTTCCCTTCATGGGCGCACGCAGCACAGTGCCAGAAAATGACCCTCTGTTTCTCGACACGCCCGTGGCTCTCCTGTGGCTGCATGGGACTGCCTCCTACCTGCCCACTGAGCCCAGTGAGGCCAGTGAGGCCAGTGAGCCACAGGGACGGCCACTGGCAGCCTGGCTTCCTGATCCAGCGCTGCCCGAGTGGGCGCTGGAGCAGGGAGGGACGAGGGAGAAAGGTGGTCAAGAGCACAAGCATCAGCACCCAGTGGGGGAAGAAGTGGGTGTGGAAGGAGTCAGTTTTCCGCAGAGGCACCACCAGCAGCAGCAACTGAATGGCCATCAGCATCTGGAGTTCGAGGGGATTCCCTCGATGTCATCATACCAGCCACTGCCAGAGCCACACCCCCAACCACTGCCAGAGCTGCTGCCTCAGGCATTGGGCCTGGCACCGTCACAGGCATTGGTACAGGCGTTTGCACTGGCACCATCACTCACATCAGAACAGGCATTGGCGCTGGCACCATCACAGGCTTTGGAACAGGCATTCGGCACTGGGACCGTCACAGGCCCTTGGAGCAACCAATACTAACCCCTAGGATCACACTACATGCCCTCAATCCCCAGGGGCTCATACATGTTTGCTTCCAAACGACCAGGCCCTGTTTGTCAGAAACTAAAATTTAACAAGTGTAGAATACAGAGGGACAACAAGGGTATATACCTATAGAGTGTTGTACCCTTTACGAGGTGACCCTATACAGTCTATACCAATATATGTTCTACATATGTTTGACACACCCCCTAGACTGCATAGGGGCAAATCCTGAACAAGCAGCTCAGGGCGGCACTACTAGTCTAGCCACTGAGACAAGGGTCTAAGGACCAGTCAAAATGGGGTACAGACAAGACAAGAACAAGACCAGGGCGGCACTACTAGTCCAGCCACTGGGAGAGGACACAAGTCCAGTCTGAGTACATATATATAGATATATATATAGGACAGTACAACGTCAAGGTCCTAGCAAGTGAGTGGCTACATGAACTAGACCGAGCTGTACACTGTGCCGCTGATGATCTTTAGGCGCAAGCGCCTTCGTAAAGATATCAGCTGTGTTGCCACCAGAGGCCAAGTGTACTACGCGGGCCTGGCGGCGTTGCTGTAGCTCACGCAGGAGGAAGTACCGCAGCTGGATGTGCTTCGCTCTGCCCTCAAGATGAGGCTCCTGACACAGGAGTATCATGGCCTTGTTGTCAGCGTACAGGACCGGGGCAGAGCTAGGCCGCTCACCTAAGTCTGTGAGCAAGAAGGTCAGCCAGCGGAGCTCCTGTGCCGCCATGGCACCAGCGTAGATCTCAGCCTCACAGCTTGAGTGAGCAACAGACGACGAGCGAGTGGATCTCCAAGAGATAGCACCCGAACCAAGGCTAAAACAGTAGCCCTGCGACGCCTTCCGCCCGTCCTGCCCCTCTCCCCTTCCCTCAACAACTCCTAGCCCCCCTCCCGCCCGTCCTCCCCCTCTCCCCTCCCCTCCGTGGCTCTTCAGACCGCCTCCCGCCCGTCCTCCCCGTCTCCCCTCCCCTCTGTGGCTCTTCAGAGCGCCTCTCGCCCGTCCTCCCCCTCTCCCCTCCCCTCAACGGCTCCCAGCCCGCCTTCCGCCCGTCCTCTCCCTCTCCCCTCCCCTCAATGGCTCCTAGCCCCCCTTCCGCTAGTCCTCTCCCTCTCCCCTTTCCACAACGGCTCCTAGCCCCACTCCCGCCAGTCCTCCCCCTCTCCCCTCCCCTCAGTGGCACTTGAGGCCGCTTTCCGCCCGTCCTCCCCCTCTCTTCTCCTCTCAGCGACTCCCAGCATCCTTCCACCCGTCCTCCCCCTCTCCTCCCCTCAGCGACTCCCAGCACGCCTTCCGCCCGTCCTCTCCCTCTCCCCTCCGCTCAGCAGCTCTTGAACAGGCCTTCCACCCGTCCTCCCCCTCTCCCCTCCCTTTCCCTCAGCTGCTCCTTAACCCGCTTTCTGCTCATCCTCCTCCTCTCCCCTCCCCTCAGCGGCTCCTTAATCCGCCCTCCGCCCGACCTCCACCCACTCCCCTCCCCTCAGCGGCTCCTTAACCCCCCCTCTCCGCTCCTCCCGCCCCCCTCTCACCTCCCTACCTCTTCCTTGGGGCCCTCCAGCCACCCCTCACACCTCCCTTCCCCCTGCTGCAGCTCCTCCTCCGGCGGCAGCAGCACGTGCCGCCCGTAGCAGCTGCACCTCTTCCTCTGGCGGCAGCCGTACGCTCCGCCCGCAGCAGAAGCAGCACCTCCTCCGCCGCCGGCAGCCGAACACGCCGCCCGCAGCAGTAGCAGCACCTCCTCCGGCGTCAGCCGCACGTGCCGCCCGCAGCAGCAGCACGAGCACCTCCTCCTCCGGCGGCAGCAGCACGCGCCGCCCGCAGCATCGGCAGCATCTCCTCCTCTGGCTGCAGCAGCACGCCTCGCCCGCAACAGCAGCACCTCCTCCTCCGGCGGCAGCCGCAGCCGCTGCTTGGAGCAGCAGCAGCAGCAGCAGCAGCAGCAGCACCTCCTCCTCCGGCGGCAGCAGCACACGCCGCCCGCGTCCTCCTCCGGCGGCAGCTTCATGCGCCGCCCGCGCCCTCCTCCGGCGGCAGCTTCATGCGCCACCCGCGCCCTCCTCCGGCGGCAGAACCACGCGCCGCCCGCGCCCTCCTCCGGCGGCAGCTGCACGCGCGCCCGCGCCCTCCTCCGGCGGCAGCACCACGCGCCGCCCGCGCCCTCCTCCGGCGGCAGCACCACGCGCCGCCCGCGCCCTCCTCCGGCGGCAGCACCACGTGCCGCCCGCGCCCTCCTCCGGCAACAGCCTTACGCGCCGCCCGCGTCCTCCTCCGACGGCAGCCGCACGCGCCGCCCGTGACCTCAACCGGCGGCAGCTGCACACGCTGCACGCGCCCTCCTCCGGCGGCAGCACCACGGGCCGCCCACGCCCTCCTCCGGCGGCAGGTGCACGCGCTGCCCGCGCCCTCCTCCGACGGCAGCAGCATGCCTGCGCCCTCCTCCGGCGGCAGCACTATGCGCCACCCGCGCCCTCCTCCGGCGGCAGCCGCACGCGCCGCCCATGACCTCCACTGGCGGCAGCTGCACGCGCCGCCCGCGCCCTCCTCGGCGCTGCACACGCCGCCCGTGCCCTCCTCCGGCGGCAGCACCACGTGCTGCCTGCGTCCTCCTCCGGCGGCATCACCACGCACCGCCCGCGCCCTCCTCCGGCGGCAGCTGCACGCGCCGCCCGCGCCCTCCTCCGGCGGCAGCACCACGCGCCGCCCACGTCCTCTCCCGGCGGCAGCACCACGCGTCGTCCGCGTCCTCCTACGGCGGCAGCACCACCCGCTGCCCGCGTCCTCCTCCGACGCCAGCACCACCCGTCGCCCATCCTCACGGGGGACTACCTGATTCAGGGGTTGCGTCTCCTCACCTACCCAAGACTTATGCCACTCTGTAGGCTAAGGGGTTGTGTTAGAGTATTCTACTTTCATTCTATTAGCCTACATCGTTTCCTTGTCTTAGGTATTTATACGCACCCCACTAAGGTGTATACACCCAAGTTGGGGGTTGGGTTCCCAACCTTGTTGAGTTCCCAAATTGGTAGGGCTCCCAATTATTCGAACCCACCAATAATCCCAACCAAGATTATTGGACCCACCAATAATCTTGGCTAGGATTATTGGACCCCCAATAAGTTGGCCAACCCAACTTATTGGATTGACCAATAATCGTGGTCACCTCCCAACCAAACCCCCCCTCCTACTCCTCACCTATGTATACCCACTCCATTCCGAATACAATTAACTGCTTTTTCACATACGTAACATCACTCTGTACGGAATGGCAAAGCCGCAACGACAGGGTGACAATAACCTGGAATGATGGGAAATGAAACTGTGAATAGCGAGGGAAACAGTACGAGGAGGAGCCATCAGCTCACCTCCCACCCAGTGACCCCATCGAATGTTGTTCGTACGATGGCATCCATGTACTGTGCACCCTTCATAGGAGAACCCATCAATGATCCCAACCAATGATCATGAGAGAGGGCTCAGCTCAGCTCAGCCTACCAGCCAGCTCACCTCCCAGTGACCCCATCGAATGTCGTTCGTACGATGGCATCCATAAGCTTTGCACCCTCTGAAGGAGCTCGCACCACACACATGCAGACATGCACAATGCACATATGCATGCACACACAAGTAGGGCGCAAAGAAATATTGCATGAGAGACCAAGATAGAGGGAAACACATCAGCAGATAAGAAGGCAGATAGGAAGTAGATACAAAGACAGCGAGGCTTGAAGACCTATGAACAGGGATAGGAAACCAACTCACCGAGATTCTCTTGCAATTTGGCTAGATCGGAAGAAGCACCTCCTCCCTTTGGTAACCTCACTGCTTGCCACTGCTCAAGCCCCTGCACCCCCGCATTCGTACTTTCCACTCCTGCCCCTGCCATTATCCCAGCGATACCCATGGCACTTGCACTGGCGTTGCTAGCAGGAAGAGGAGGAGGGGAAGGGGAGGAGTAGGAGGAGGAGGGGGAGTTGGGATAGAGGACGGAGTGGAGGCCGCGGGCGATGAGGGAGAGAGAGTCATGGGCGAAGAGAGCGTAGAGGGTGGTCTGCAGGGGGGGAGAAAGGGAAGAGACACAGAAGAGGGGGAAAAGAGGGGGGATGGGGGGAGGGGGGGGGGGATAGAAGGAATGTGAGAGCTGATTAGAAACAGGAGGACGGAGCTGACTTGTGTGTGATGAGGAAGAGGGAGTCATGGGCGAAGAGGGCGTAGAGTGTGGTCTGCAGGGGGGGAGTGGGGGGAGAGAAAGAAGGGGAGAGAGAGGGGGGGCGGGGGGAATATTTGGAGGGAGCCAGTGCTGTGTGCGACGAGGGAGAGAGAGTTATGGACGAAGAGGGCGTAGTGTGGTCTGCAGGGGGGGGGAGAGAGACAAATGAGGGAATACGTGCCTTTGAGTCGACTCAAACGAGGGAATCCGTGCCTCTGAGTCGACTCGAAGAAAGAATCCGTGCTTTTGAGTCGACTCAAAGAGAGTATCCGTGCTTGACTCGACTCAAAGAGAGTATCCGTGCTCAAGTCGACTCAAAGAGAGTATCCGTGCTCGAGTCGACTCAAAGAGAGTATCCGGGCTCGAGTCGACTCAAAGAAAGTATCCGTGCTAGTCCACTCAAAGAGAGTATCCGCGCTCAGAGGTACAAACACCCGCATCCCAATGCACCCCTCGGTGAACAGCTCGTCTCGCCCTCACCTCTTGGAACAATGCTGCAGCACCAGCTGTTGCATTCCCGTCCCCATCCGCCTGCCACGCCCGCTCAAACTCTGACAGCTGCGCGTTGGGCGGCACGAAGACGCGCGTCCCAATGACCCCCTCCGTGGAGAGCTCTGGTAGGTTCTCCAGCTCCGACACCACTCCTTCGGTGGCGATCCACACATATCCGGGGGTCATCATGCCCACCTCCAACGCTGGTGGGAGGGAGCAGGAAACAGACAGGGTACGGGGAGAACAGGGGCAACAATGGAGCACAAAGCCTTCAGTGAAGAGCTCTGGCAGGGTCTCCCGCTCAGCCATCACCCCCTCAGTGAGGATCTACACGTACCCAGGGGCCATCATGCCCACTTCAGACGCTGTTTTGAGTGAGAGGGGTGGAAGGTAGGGGCATGTGGGGTGGCATGGAATGGAGAGCAGGGGCAAGGAGGAAGGAAGACGCCCCCCTCCGTGGAGAGCTCTGGCAGGTTCTCCAGCTCCGCCTTACGGCCTCTGTGGCGATCCATACGTATCCAGGCGTCATCATGCCCACCTCAGACACTGATGTGCGGGAGAGGGAAACAGGGTATGGGGAGAATAGGAAGGCAACAATGACGCATGACCCCCCTCCGTGGAGAGCTCTGGCTGGCAGGTTCTCCAGATCCGCCACCACCGCCTTTGTGGTGATCCCCACACTTCTCCAGGAGTCATCATGCCCACCTCCGATGCTGGTCGATGGAGAGAGAGGGGAATATGGAGATGGAGGGTATAGGGGTGTGAGTGAGCTAGGGGCACTTGACCCATTTAATAGGGGTGTGTGTGAGCTAGGGGCACTTGACCCATTTAATAGGGGTGTGTGTGAGCTAGGGGCACTTGACCCATTTAATAGGGGTGTGTGTGTGCTAGGGGCACTTGACCCATTTTATAGGGGTGTGTGTGAGCTATGGCAGGGTCTCCCACTCAGACACCAGCCCTCAGTGGCGATCCACGGGTAGCCTCTGGCCATCATACCCACCTCAGACGCTAGGGAAAGGGATGGTGCGGGCGGGGCGGGGCGGGGGAGAGAACCAGGGGGGATACGAATGGGCGGGGAGAGCTCAAAGGCAATAGCGTTCTCCGGCTTTACCATGACCCCCGTGTGGACCCCTGTGGCGATCCAAGGCACCCACATGTAGCCAGACGACATCATACCCACCTCAGATGCGTCACCTCACCGTGGAAGACGAAGGAGGGAGGGAGGGAGGAAGGGGCTCAAACGATGCCAATCTTTTCCAGGCTCAGCTGGAGGATTAGCACAGTAGACTCCAGCTTCTGAGGGGCAAGCAGTCAGGATTGGGAACATAAGCCATGGAACGTACCAGCGGCCAGCATACCAGCACTCAACCTACCAGCACGATCAGCTCAAGGGATGGGAGGGGGATGGGAGGGAACGAAGTTTCCGGTTTCATTCAGCAGGTGATGGGCGCCCACAGGTGGCTACTTTTGAGGCGCCTCAAAAATAGAGTCCACAGGTGGCTACTTTTGAGGCGCCTCAGAAGGAATCTCATTCAGCAGACGATGGGGCCTGCTAACGAAGAAGAGGCGTCCACAGGTGGCGATTCCTGTGAACGCCCCCTCGAAAAGGTTTCTTCAGTGCTCAGAGGCCAAAACGGAATCAGAAGAAGAAGGATACAAAGAAGAACGAGCATTGAAAGGAACAGTAGCGAGGCCGCTGACCTTATCGAGCAGCACGGTGAGCTGGTTGACTCCGTTCCTGCCATAGTCGTCGTCACTGTAGATGGTGATCACCTCAAGCCAGCTGAAATGCGCCACCAGGTCTGGAATACGGGGAGTGGATGGGGAGGAGGAGGGCGGGGGGGGGGGGGGGGGATGGGTGGGTCGGGGAGCAGAATGAGAGGTGTGGGGCATGAGCACCAGTACCACTCAGGCACAGCTACCTACCTGACACGGAAGGACTCAGGTCTCACCTGCTATGGAGAGGAATCGGGTCTCTCACCCGGTGTGACGAGGACTCACGGCTTGTTAGAAACTGAGAACTTGATTAATTCAATGAGCAAGAGCATACATCCTTAAGTACCGAGCATCGGAGAGGATGGGAAGGGATAAGGGAGAATCGGAGGGAATCCCAAGGGAATCCTCCCAAATCGTGGCGATTTGGGATGGATTGGGTTGGGATTAGACATGAGCAAAACCGGGTAATTACCCGACCCGACCCGGTTTTGCCCTACCTGCAGTCGGGTCCGGGTCGGGTCGGGTCGGGTAATTTCCGGGTAATGTTTGGAATTAGGTTACCCGACCCGGTATTTAAATTCCGGGTAATTCAGTACCCGTGTGGCGGGTCGGGTATACCCGACCCGGTTTTTATTAAAGTCGGGTAATATTACCCGACTATCCCTAGGTGGCTGTACAACTTAGCAGTAAATGCTACTCTAAGCTAGAACCTGATGAGAATGCATCTTAGACCCTTTTGACCGCGTTGTTCAAGTTTAGGGGAATGAAGCAACTCTACCAAGATGCATTACACTCTACCAAGTAGTGTTCGAGTGTGTTTGTAGCTCGCTTCATGAAAGCGTTCGAGGTAAGTAGCATGCAAACCAGCACACCTGTCACTGCAACAAACATACCAAGGGGAGTTTAAGCAAACCCACTATGTGACCAATGCCCCTCCTCCCTCACAGCCCCTCGTCATCACCCTCAATACACACCTCCCCTGACCCCCCACCCTGATGTGCCATTGGGAGTTTGGCGTCTGCGTGCTGCGTCATCCATGAATTGATAGTCATGGATGCGCGCACCTGAGCAGGGCTCAACCGATGACGCTGCCAGCTGACAATGTTTCGGCCCTGGCTAAACGCCCGCTCACTCGGTGCCGAGGTTGCAGGGATGGCAAGGTAATCGCGAGCCATGGCTTGCAGCCCCGGCAGCGAGGTGCGCGAGCGCCACCATGTGAGAGGGCATTTGTCCATGGCCAGCCTCTGCTCACCCAGATACCTCTCCACCTCATCCACCTCCTGCACACCCGCCTCCTCATCCATCAGGTCCATCTGCGAGCCAAGCAAGTCCGTCAAGCGCCCCCCAGTGGCCCTCCTGTCACCCTCCTGTCCGAGCCTACTCTCCCCCTCCCCACTCGTAATGCCAGAATTCGTGCCCTCGTGCCCTGTGCCCACGGCTCGGCGGCGCTGCTCGTCTAGGTACGACTGGAGGCGAGAGCGCACCAACGCCTTGACATCCGCCTCGCTCACATCCTTGACTACCCTAGGTCCATCAGCAACCGCCGCCACCAGTGTCGGGTTCGCCCCCTCCCACCTCTTCAGCTTGAAGTATGCGTTCTTGAACCGAGGGTCCAAGAACGTCGCCACAGCTAACTCGTCACTAATTCCATACAAATACTTCTTCAGGACCACCAGCCCCTCCCTGTCCATCTCCTTGCGCAGCGCGTTGGTGCTCGGGTTGTGGAACGAGGCCTCGAGGGTATCTATGAGGAGGTTAAACTGTGGCACCACCGCAGCGGCCGTGGGGTACAAGGACCCCTCTGCCGCCGTGGTGATGTCATTGAATGGTTTCGGGAACTCGGCCAGAACCTCAGCTACCTCCCAGTGCGCATCCCCCAGCTTGCACCGGGCCGCCTGCACCTGTGCCCGCCTGGGAACACCAACCTGTGGGGTGCGGGCGGAAGGGTGGCCGGGAGGGGTACAATGGGGCGAGGATGTGAGGAAATCAGCAACACCATGCAGATAGAGGACTACAATTGAACCGGGAAAGAGCTTGGACTGTGGAACGATACGAATGATGGGGAAATGGTAAAGTCAAGTACCTCAGGCCGGGAGAAGAAGAGTGTGAGCGCTGGTTTCAGCTTCAGTGCGCGGGCAACCATCTCGTAAGACGACCCCCAGCGAGTGGGGGTGTCATTGACCAATCGGAGAACCGGGGTGCCGGGCGGGAACACAAGCGCCTGCTCCGCCTCAAACATGGGGGACCTGGTAGATGACCAGCCAATGTAAGACGCGAGCTCCCTCATGCGGCGGAGTGGCTCTGCCACTGCTGGCAACCCCAGAGCCCGCTGCACTGCAAGGTTTAGGATGTGCGCCAGACACCTTGGGGTGGGTCGGGGGGGGAGTTGTTTGGGGTGGGAAGATAGGTATAAACCCATACCATGGTGCACATGTGGCATGTCATGCCATGGTGCACATGTGGCATGCCATGCCATGGTGCACATGTGGCATGTCATGCCATGGTGCACATGTGGCATGCCATGCCATGGTGCACATGTGGCATGTCATGCCATGGTGCACATGTGGCATGCCATGCCATGCTGGACATGTGGACATGTGACAATAACATGCCATGCCATGGTGCACATGTGGACATGTGGCATGCCATGCCATGCCATGCTACGGCGACCCACCTGAAGAAGAATCGAGGGTTGATGACGGCGACAGCTCGCGCCTCGGAGGTGTTAGGATCGGCAGTGAGGATCTTCAGGGCCTTCACGTTGTTCTCGGCATTGTCCGTCGTGATGCCGAGCACGTGGTCATTCAGGCCCCAGTCTGCAATGATCCGCTCCAAGGTTTCTGCAATCATCACGCCAGTGTGGGACCCCTGCAGCTCCTCGAACTCCAGCAGCGCCACTCGCAGCTGGAAGTCCGAAGTGATCCAGTGGGCTGTGACGGCCATGAACGAATCCTGGGCAGGGCTAGACCAAATGTCTGTGGTCAGTGACACCTTCCCCGTTGCCCCGTCCCCGATGATCTCCTGGTGCAGCTGCTCGCGCGCACCCTCCCCAGACAGTAGCATGTCACGGGCCAGGCGGAAACGAGAGCCTAGCAGTTCTGCGGCCGGCGGGTTCAGGAGTGCAGTATATCGACGGAACTGTGGGGTGGGGCGGGATGGGGTTAAGGGCAGGTACACGCGGATGAGGAACCCCGAGTCTCTGTCGTAGGCATGGAGTCAGCGCACACGACGGATGACGATATGACTAGGCACAAAGGGCTGGTAAGCACCACCAAGTGTTATGACTCACCAAGGGCCGGTCGACGAGGCGGAAGGGCAGGCATGCGTCGGCGAACAGCTCAACCAACGCCTGCCGGAGACGCTCCTGGGACACCCGCCGCGTGAAGAACTGGCCGATGACGCGCTGCCCACGCTCGGCCGTGGGTGTCCCGGTGCCCTCACGTAACCCCGGGATGTTAGGATACGCCGCCACATGCTCCCACAGCTCGGGCCCATCTGGAGCACCCGTGTATCCGCCGGGGGGGAACTCAAGGCCCAGCTTCTTGTCCGGGGCTGTAAACTCGCGATGCCATATCTGGAGATGAGGCATGTGCTTCGCTCGCACATGCTTCCATCCGGTCGACGTACTGCTCCGGTCCCAGTAGAACTCCTCCTCGCATACCTTACAGACACGCGAGGCATCACCCTCCTCCGACTCATAAAACATCCCTTGCATCAAGCCAGGAATGGTACCCCAGTAGCCTGGAACAGGTTCGCCATCCTCCCCCACCCGCGTCCGCTTCACCCGCCCTGCACCGGTCCCTGCAGCCCCTCCCCCGCGCCCGGTTGCGCCCGCCCGACGGGGAGTCACCCCAACACCCCCATCTCGGGCATCCTCCGCAGCTACCATTTCACGTCCCTCTGCACTCCGCCAAAGACCCCTTGCGGCCCCTCTGGGACGGCCGCGCGCAGCACGCCGCCCTGCTTCCGCATCCCCCCCCTGGTTTGCGGCTCTCGGGCGACCCACCGCCTGCGTGGCAGGGGATGCATCCTCTCCTGAAAGATCCACCACGTCGTCGGCACCCGGCTGCCAATCCTGATCACCACCACCACTGGGACGCTGCTCAACCCGCTGCCCTCCGCCCCCACCTGGCAGAGCGCCTCCCTCACCGGGCTCCACCGCTTGCACGTTCCCCTCCTCTCCGACCCCACGAACCCCACTCCCCAGAGCAAAGCTCTGGTCCTGTGCGGGTACAGGGAGACCTCCAAGGGAGGCGCCTTGTATGCGATTGCTGGACTGCACTCCCCCCTCCTCAGCCGTGGCGACTCCTCCTTCGGCGGCCAGATCCTGGTCAGCCATAGAAACCCCGTCCCAACTGTCGTACAGTAGCACCATGACCGAACTGTCCGTCAATCCCTAAACGCGATTTCAGTGTATTCTACGCTCTAACTGGAAGAGGGGGTGACGAAACCCTAAAACGGACGGCTAGGCAGCTAAAATCGCCAAGGTGTAGCCCTTGTCTTCTACACTACCCTAGGATTCGTTAAAAATTGAAGCGGTTTGTAGTAGACCCGCTGCGGAATGCTCCTACGTGCACGTTAGGGTAGGCTTAGGTTGAACGAAACTGAGAAACAAAATAGTCGCGGGAAATTTTGACCCTATGGTCGAAATTTCCCAACCACCGCGAAACTTGACGTGCTGGTTGCCGTCGGGTAATTTTGTGACCCGATATCGGGTCGGGTACCCGCGACCCGATCTCGGGTAATAAACCCGATGTCGGGTAATGCATCCACTACCCGGCGGGTAATAAATTACCCGACATTTCGGGTAATTTCCGGGTAGCGGGTATGCATTACCCGGCGCTATTACCCGACCCGACCCGGCCGGGTAATTTGTCAGAATCCTATTACCCGACCCGGCCAAAATGTCGGGTCGGGTCGGGTACCCGCGACCCGACCGGGTAAAATGCTCAAGTCTAGTTGGGATAGGTTGGGGATGAAAACATAGCTACACCCAACCTAAGAAATATGCGTATCCCTAACACCAACAAATTGCCAACACACAAAGTTGTGCCAACCGAATTGCAGCCTATCTGTAACACGGCTCACCTGCTATGGCTTGCATCTCAAGGGCGTCGCTGCAGATGGTGCGGGGGAAGAAAGGGCATGGCGCGGCAGAGAGAGAGAGAGAGGGGTCTTCGCGTCGACTCAAAAGATGATTCAAGTCTCGTCTCACCTGCTATGGCTTGCATCTCGAGGGCGTCGCTGCGGATGGTGCGGGCAAAGAACGGGTAGGAGGCGGCGGAGAGAGAGGGGTCTGTGGCAGAGTAGGAGACTGTAGGCAGCTGTTCGGTTCGGGGGTGGGGGGGGGGGATACGAGAAAGTGAGAGGGGGGTGAGAGAGTGGTGGACAAGTCGTATTGCTAGCATTGCGACCTTTCAGCCGACTCAAGAGTCACCTGGCTGGACACGTACACCTACCTGCACTTGAGTGTGGATGGCTGAGAGCACGTGCGCCTGAGAGGACGTCATCGGCCCAACTGCTGCTACCACCCTTTCTGTCAGCATCGTCTGCACCACTGCGGAAGGAGGAAGATAGAGAGAAAGAGAGCAAAAATGCCTCATTGTATTTCCAGAACAACACAACAACTCGAGAATGTGATGAAAAAGGCTAGTGCTGACCATTTTTTTGGAGCCCCAAAAATAGTACTAACCGCCACGACCTCAGTTATGTATTTCGCCGGCAGCTGCTCGTCCACGTCGATCATACGTACGCATTTGAGCTCACTGAAAGTATAACTCCCGGCCTCTTCGTCGACTTAAGAGGGTTACCTGCCGCTGCAGCCTGCGTGGTGGAGAGGCTAGTGTTGCTGACCGGCACGACTTGAACGGAGTAGTCTGGCAGCAGGTCGTCGTTGGACCTGAGCTCAGCCGAAATATACCATATAAACCACACAGAAGCTCAGCAGCGTTACCTGCCGCTGCAGCCTGGGTGGTGGAGAGGCTTGTGTTGACCGGCACGACTTGAACGGAGTAGTCTGGCAGCAGCTGGTCGTTGGCGTTGATCTGGGCCTCGGCCAATCGCACAGCTACACGTGTACAGGGTGGCAAAGGGGTGGAAAGAGGGAGGAGAAAACGAGAATGTGTTGGAAAAAAGCGGGATGCTTGAGATAGAAGAGGGGGTATGAGAGGGTGCTTCTCAGTCACCTACCTCCTCCCTTTCCACTCGGCATTAGCTGCTACAGTGGCGAATGCTGCTTAAATTCTCACCTTTAAATATGGCCTGGCCGAAAGGGACCTCCAGCAGCACGAGGCACGCCGTATTTCCCCCACCCATTCCCCTCGGAATTTGCTGCTACAGTGGCGAGTGATTCGAAATCTCTCACCTTTGAAAACCGCCTGGCCGAAAGGGACCTCGAGCGGCACGAGGCACGCCACTTTGATGACCTACTTCCCGCCATTCCCCGCCATTCCCCGCCGCCGCCACCGCCGCAGGCGCTGCTGCTGCTGCTGCTGCTGCTGCTGCTGCTGCGTTATCGACTGCTGAAGTAGCGACTCCTGTGAAAGCGACTGCTGACGAAACAGACAGGTTCTCACCTTTGAAGATGGCCTGGCCGAAAGGGAGCTCCAGCGGCACAAGGCAAGCCACTTTGATGACCTGCTTCCCGCCATTCCCCGCCACCGCCGCCGCTGCTGCGTTATCGACTGCTGGAGAAACGACTGCTGATGAAGATGCTTCCGACGACGAGGCGATAGGAGCACGGGAATCCGCTGTCGTAATGGCTGGTAGCCCTAGAAGAGATAACGCGAGAGCTACCCATAGAATAGCCAACGGTAGGAGCAGCTTTCGCGGACGGTGCGTACTGGAATCCTCGACCAGGGCCATCACTAGCTTCTCAAGTGAACGGCGGAGAGAATCCTGGAGCCTTCTGTGTAGTTCAACCAGCTATTTTGCCTATCAGCGAGCTGACATTACGGTCCATGTCACTACAGCCGGATGCACAGCCCTCCCATCGCTGCGGATGATCAAGACTCCTCGGCCTACGCGTGCAACGTGGAGGAGCAAATGATAAGGAGAAATCGGCCGTCTCAGCAGTCTCAGGTGTCCGGGCAGCAGTTCCCCAACGGACCGACCATAAGTAACGAAACCCTAATTTGACGGAAGCAGCAAGTATAATTTGTACACTTAACCCGCGGTATTTTCACACCTATTATTTTCTCACCCTATGTCGCGTAGTGGCGTGGTCAAACTTCAACAGTTCGGACCGCACTGGTTTGTGCGTCCCCAGGCTCGCGAGAGAAGGAGCCCCCTGAATAGGCTCGGAATTGGTGACAACCTATCAATTTGTGTGGCCCTGCGCACAGGAGCGCGTCACTAGGGGGGAGCAGAAACGAAACTTGTCTCTGGAAGCACCGACAGAACTGTAGAGCTGCCACATCGGAGTTGGCCAATTCAAATGAAATGTGCAGCATGGTTTGTAATTGGCTTGAACAAAATACACCCAATGAACGCACGAAATTGAGGAACCAGGCCGCGCAGCAAAAGAACAGCACATCGAAAAGGAATCCCATACTCTGAAATTGAGACACGATACAGAATGTGCTCACAAATTCCCGAATAGGAATTCCCCGCGCGACATGCAATCACAGCCCAAAGGCAATACGAAATTAGCTACTCAAAGCCCCCGTCTCATAATTCCGGAAGCTTTCCAAGCGTTAAACGCTTGGTACCAGGTTACACGGCCGAAACTAGGAGGAGAGGTTAGGGAAAGCCCGTGAGAGGGTGGAAGCAACCAGGGGCGAAAGCGAGTGTAAAATCAGGGGCACCACGGTTCTGTGAAATATGAGACTGCTCAGAACCTGGGAAGCAGCGCGCAACTGGTACTGTGGGCCGTTAGATCTGTTCCAATTTCAGATCTGACGGACAGCTCCCTAAGCAGCTGAATCGACGGTTGGTAGCAAAGTAGAAAGTGAAAGCAAAACAATTGGATTGTCAGCCGTTGGATTTCCGAAGTGTGACTGGCTCGGTGCGGAAACCAAACGGCCGACAACCCAAGGCCCTTTGCCCGAACCAGGATTTCGGTTTGGGAAGTTTGTCGAAACAAAAGGGCCTCGCTACCTGCGTTTCGTTTTCTCCAATTCTTCAGCACCTCGCCCTCCAATCACCGAGTGTCTTCCTTAGCCAAGTGTTAAATAGTTGGAATTATGAGAACCTGGCTTTAAGGATGTACTTAAGCATGCGAGGCAGCGATCAACGGCTTGCACAATGCCGACCAGGCTTAGAAATGTAGCTTTGACACGAGAAGAGAAACGACGCCTCTGCTTGGACCGGCAGGAATGCCCGTTGGACAACCACAACCGCCTTGCTGCATGGTGTCAGTCCGAGTTCGGCAAGAGGCCAGGCCGCACTACAATCGTCAAGATTCTTAAGTACCAGGCCCGATGGTTGGCTCAGACTCCGTTGCCTGCCTTGCGTAAGCGTCTCCGGTCCGGCAAGCAGCCCAAGCTAGAGGAACGGTTGAAGGAGTGGGCTATGAGTCACATTAAGGGAAACCGCCCTATTTCCTTCAACGTGTTGCAAACGAAGGCGGTAGAGATCGGTCGCGAAATGGGGATTGTGCAGATGGGTCTGAGTTGATGGCGCAGATTGTCATTGGCACTGCATTGCGTCCTTCATCGTTCGGCTGAGATTTCAACGTTCACGACTTCGTGTGGTACCGTTCGAACAGACGTGGATGGATGACTTCAGAGGTATGACGTCCATTTTTTTAGGCTCTGAAATGTCCATATGTGAGCCAACTGGTTGATGTTTTTAAGGATTTTTTGCTAACAACTCTGATTGGTATTGCAGGTTTTCTCGAAGTGGCTTGCCGAGAAGAATGTGGACATGGTCTTGGCTGACCGAAGGATTGCTATCCTTGTCGACAATGCCTCAGCCCACAATGTTATCAACATCGAGGGCGCAGTTAGAGAACGCCGGCATGGCTTCAAGGTTGTAACACTTAGCAACATTCGTATCATCTACTTGCCACCCAATTGCACTTCTCATGTGCAGCCGATGGATCAAGGCATCATATCGACCGTGAAGCTGCGATACAGGAAACTCCTTGTGGAGTGGCTCATCCGGAAGTTTGACAGTCCCGATACTAATCAGGACCCGAAAGATGTTCGTCCAGGTTTGAGGAATGCCATCCTCTGGATGCACGGCTGCTGGCTTGGGATGGTACAAGACATCGTTCGGTGGTGCTGGAGGCGAGCGGGAATTGTGCCGCAATCGTGGCTGGAATCTTGGGGCATGGGCAGGGTGTATGAGGGGCCTGCCCGTGACCCACCTCGACCCGAAGTCGTAGCGCTCCAGCGACTAATTAGTAACCTGTCTTTGGATGAGCCAGCTATGACCGCCCTGCAATTTGCACGGTACGACAACCATGCGGCTTCGTGCTCGAACATCCAAAACGATACTCAGTGGGTAGGCCGTAGCCTCTGGGCGCCAACCCGCATCGGTGCTCCTCTACCCTTCGACCTTAACGACGCCCCCCCCCCCGGGAGCCGACGCTCCTTGTTGAAGCTCTCACGAGGGCCGACATTCGTGCCGTCGAGGAATGCGCCCAAGATAGCAGGTTTGCGCCGTACATATTTCCTGCTGTCCTTCGGTCAAGACGTGGGCGCCTGGACGACTCTATCAACCAAGATCACGTGGAGTGGGTTCGTGCGGGTCAGCTTAATCGCTGTTAAATTATGACTATCGGGTTTAGGTTCTATAGCGCTGAACAAAAACAGGTTTACTAGAGGCCTCTGCTGAGGGAAGTTTTTCTTTGACTTTGTATCGCAATTCAGTTGGCTTTGTGTTCCCAATTTCACATTCCATATTTCGGTTTGAACAATTGGACGGTGCATTCAAATTCCAACACAGCGCGACCTTTCGACCAGGGGAGCCTCGGTTGGGTGAGTTAGCGTTGTCAGGCTCGGGTTGCGACAGCGTGGCACCTTTTTCGTTTCGGCGGATTACCCCTGTGAAGATACTGGGGCGTTTCGCGCCCCAGTAACTTCACACCTTCAGGATACGCCAAACGCCTGCTATCCATTTTCAGGGTGTGAAAATACCGCGGGTTAGGTGTACTGGCAGAAGGCTGGAATGGAATTCCCAATTTCCCAGTTTGGAGGAGAACCTGTACTGCACAGTACAGTAAACACGTTCAGCACCACCCCCACCTCTGACCTCAACTCTGGCAAGTAGCTCACCTCACCAACAGCTCTACGACAGGCCACCTTGCAACTCCGCGATTTCGTTCGTATTCGCAACTCAGCGAATTCGTTCGTACACATGAAGTCCATTGCAGGTCCAGCTGTTTTTCGAGCGGGTGTTCCAAAGTCGAGCACATAACTTTCACGCGCGTATTGGGCCAATATAGGGTAGTTTGGTTACTTGATTGGCATTTTACAGTGTAAAGCGGGTAGCCACTGTTGTTTCTTTTGCGTTTCTCGGGCAACAGTACAAGGTCTGAGAACGTCCCGTCTGCATGTTTGGACGTCTCTGTATCAAATGTGGTAAAATTGGGGCTCTGTAAATATGGCCGCTGACCATGATTTTGAACAAGAGGCTTGTAAACACATATGTGGCATCCAGTTAATAAACTTTTACTGGAATAAATGTGTACAGAGAGCCATTCGTTGTGTTGGCCATTCAAGTCACTCGACAGTGCAGCCTCGATAATGACAAGTGCAGCACCAAGCTCTGCCAAACCAATGTCGGTGGCGCGGAAATAAAGGGGCAATTTAATGAATGGCTACACTCTATAGCTACCTATAATAGTTTTAATATGTCATTAGTATCTCGTTAACAACATTCTCCTAACCCTCACAACTTCATGCCTAACCATTTTAAGGCAAACGGCTCCTACAAGAAAACATATGTTTCCTCATTTTCTCGTTGTACATGCGCAGGTCAAAATGGTACTGTGGTAAAACTTGTGTTGCACAACCATGTACTCGGAACAATCCACATAGACTTTACAGCAATATGTACAAATGCAGTGTAGCCAAAGGAGGACAGATCCCAAGACTCTAGTGGGCATAGCCATAACCACAGGCAATCCATTACCAGTCGGACGAGTTCCCCTTAGTCAGGCCAAACAAAGAAATTCAGATTGCACTCGAGAATCCCAACAAACCTGTGGAACCTCTAGTGCGATCAAAACCCCGTGGGTGGTCTCTCATCAGTAACAACAATGGGGCGCGGTTCTATCTCCCGTGGCGTCAGGTAAGGTCCTCTGCGCACCGCTTCGGCTAGCTGGTGTGATGGAAGGGGGTTGGGTTGAAAGGTTGGAGGAGAGGGAAGGGGAGATGAAAGGGGGGGGGGGGGGGTTGGACAGCTAGAGAGAACAGGGAGGCATCAGGTAAGGTCCCCTGCGCACTGCTTCGGCTAGCTGGTGCGATGGAAGGAGGGAGAGAAAAGGTGTAAAGAGCAAAAGAAAATGGGTGGAGGGTAAGGGGTGGTAGGGTCCCTTGCACACTGCTCCGGTTAGCTGCACGCTGCACTCATCCCCACACAAAACCTGTCGGGGGGACTGACCTGCGCAGTTGGGCGAATAACATGGTTAACTATACAACACGGGGCTATTGTAGGGGGCAACGCTGACCTGAGCCGAGCAGTTGAACGAGATGGACGCATGTTGTGCCTCTGCCGCTGTTGCCATGGCCACACAGCACGAGTGCCTCCAATCCATGGCTGCCACATGGCAAGGGCGGGAGTAGCGAGGGGTGGGAAAATCAGCTCTCCTGTCCCTGTCAACCTGCCACCATCAAAACTAGAATCCATTCACCACAAATTCTGAAATCTGTGACCAGTGCTGCCTCATATATGAGCCCTCACCGACTGCAGCACTCCGATTTTGAGCCCTCACCTGTCTTGTGCCTCTCTGCCTGTGCGTCTGTCACCAGCTGCACCAGCGTCCAATCACCACACAGCTCCATTGCTGCCCACTCCCTCTCCACCACCGCTGCCAGCAGGCGATACACCTGCAGGGAAAGACAGGGAGAGGGAGAGTAGCAGGTTGGCGTAGCAGTCCTGCTCTCCGCCACCACTACTCAGAGGCGATGGGCACCATCACAGGCACTCCACTGTCGCTCACTCCCTCTCCACCGCTGCAAGCATGCGGTACAACCTGGAATGTTTTGAGTCGACTCAAAAGGTCACTCAAAACCCACCGCTGCAAGCATGCGGTACAACCTGGAATGAGGGAGTTGGAACCGGCAGTGAGAGAGTCTCACCTGACAGTGAGCTGAACAAGGTGCGGCACCGGGAGCAGCACAAGGAGCAGCACAGGGAGCAGCAGAGCCTACCACCGCTGGTATTGTCAAAGATGGCTTGGGAGGGGCATGGTGGACCACACCTAAGCCGCCAAACTCAGTCACTTGCAATGTGCAAAATTCCCATGCAAAAGGGAGATTCTAGGCAACTTCCAAACAGACCGAAATGTTGTCCATTCCCTCAACCCCACCGTTGCCAGCGGTGTGTGTGCACGCTTGCACGAGTGTGAGTGCACGGTGTGTGTGCGTGCGTGCACGAGTGTGAGTGCACGGTGTGTGTGCGCGCGTGCACGCGTGTGAGTGTATGTGCGTGTGTGTGCATGTGCGTGTTCTTGTGTGTGTGCGTGTGTGTGTGGGAGGGGGGGGGGGGGTATTCCTCTGTGTGAATGGGTGTTAAACAGCAAGAGCAGCACTCACAGCAATGCGAATTTCCTCAGATCGCTTGAGCCGAGAGACAAACATGCCCTGCCAGGTACGCAACACAACAGAAAGCAGGACTCTGAGAAATCAATCAAAGCATTTTAACAGTTATTAGTTGTAGTTGAAACTGCAAATGTCGCACACTCAAAGAGGATCCTCCTGGTGCTTCACTAGTCGGAAAAGGCTAAGGCTTAGGGCGCTTTGGCATGTAGGACCAGGATGAAATCTCCACGAGTGGACCACTAAAGACGGCCTACTGGCACTATAGACCGCCAGAGTGGGTCCTCCTGTTGCTGTAGCCAGGTGGCTTTGAGTCGACTCAAAAGACGGCCTACTGGCACTAAAGATCGCCAGAGTGGGTCCTCCTGCTGCTGTAGCAGGAACTACAAGGATAAGTCTCACTAAGAGGATAAGCCTTCACAGCAACGACCACTAAAGGTGCTTTCACTCACCGCGAGAGTGGGTCCTCCCGGTGCTTTAGCCGCAGCGGCAAACGTCTCTTCTTTAAGCTCCGCCTCCCCGTCATCCCCCGCATCCGCACCCATGCCACCCCAAGATAAAGTGGGGGTTAGGGGAACTGACCATCCGCACCTGTATGCGAGTTCCCTTGCCATGCCTGTACCCCGATTCTATCTAATACAAAGGACCGATTTTGTGTAATGAGTTCATTTTTTAGTCGACTAAAAAATGGACTTATTGCACACCCTTGCCATGCCTGTACCCTGCTTCTATCTAATACAAAGGACTAATCAGCAGACATCTTTCCAACACTCACCGCCAGGGTGGGTCCTCCCGGCGCTTTAGCAGCAGCGGCAAACGTCTCCTCTTTCAACTTCGACTCCCCGTCCCCCCCCACCTCCAAATCCACACCCATGCCACCCCCCCTACCCCCCTCTGGATCCTTTCCCTCATCCACCCCGCTGATTCCCGAGTGGGTGGCATGCACCGGCACCATCTGCACTGGCTCGCTACCCTCCACTCTGTCTGCTCCAAAGACGGAAGCCAATGCATGCAAGGACGCCTGGATAGGAAAGCATGGGGCTGGAAACATGGGGTGAATACAACTCCTTCCCCAGAGCATGGCATGGACTGACACCATGCGCACTGGCACACTGCCCTCCACTCTTTCTGCTCCAAAAATCGATGCGAGCGCGTGTAGAGGGGCCTGGAAGAGCGGGGGCGGGGGGGGAGGGGGAGGGGGGAAAGGGAGATGGCACCATGCGCACTGGCTCACTGCCCTCCACTCTGTCTGCTCCAACGGCGGAAGCCAATGCAGACATAGTGCAAGGAAGCCTGGAGAGGGAAACATGGGTGTGTAATTGTAGGGTTGAGTCTTAGGGTGAAATCTTAGGGTGGAATCATAGCGCACTGGAGAGGAGTGCCGGGCGGACTCACCATGGGCAGGGAGGGGTGGGGCCCACTGTCCCCAAACGCATGCTTGACTACGAAAGTGACGACACGGCAGGAAGGGGCGACGAACAGTTACAGTGTCCAGAGAGGGGTGGGGCCCACTGCCCGCAAATGAATCCTTTCAAAAAAAGGTGATGACGTGGCGTCAAGGATGGAGCAGCGCTCACCATGAATACTAAAGGGAGCACTGGAGGAGAGAGAAGGACGGGAAGCCCTTACAGTGTGCAGGGAGGGGTGGGGCCCACTGCCCCCAAACGCATGTTTGAGCACAAAGGTGATGACGTGGCGACGGGGATGCAGCAGCAGACGAGAGCCGTGGGTGGCTGTACGAAAATCCGTGTGGGTGGGGGGTGGGGAGTGGGAGAAGGGAGGTGGAGTTGAGAAGAAGTTTCTACGAAGTTGAACAACGACATAGTCAAAGTATTAACCGGTACATACTGGTGAAAACGTCAAACCAAAGTATCTCTCAACAGTCATAACAGGTACATGTTGATTAAGCCACAACCCCATACAATGCAACCTTTTCTTGCACACAGACGAGCATGACTCACAGCGTGCGTAGGTTATCAGAGCATCAAAATACCCCTCCATCATTTCCACTGGTACATGCTCCTCACTGCGCTCCCACACCTCACAGATGCTATTAGACTGGGCTGCAGCCATGAATGGAGACTGCCAGCCACCAACCATACGGGTGTAAGGACTCACAGTGTGCGGAGGTTGTCAGCGCATCAAAGTACCCCTCCGCCATTTCCACCGGTACGTGCTCCTCACTGCGCTCCCACGCTTCACAGATGCTATTAAACAGCGCTGGCACCTCATTGCTAACACTGAGGCACAACACTGAGGCTCGTTACTTTCCCCCCTCCCCCTCCCCCTCCCCCCCCGCACCTCATTGCCGCGAGGCAAGGAGCACAACACTGTCAACCAATGTTAACCGCACGAGAGAGTAACGAAATTCTGCAGAAGCATGCACAAAAAAGTAAGGGGAGAAGCGCACGGATCAGGGTGAGGGAGCCATGACTCCGGGTGTTGCAAGAGAGGTGAGGCGAGCAGCTCATGTCAGTGCAGCCGACTGGCGGAATCCAAGAGAACTGTACAGAGGAGAAAGAAAGGTGAGCAGAACGTACGGATCAAGGTGAGGGGAGCCATGACTCCGGGTGTTGCAGGAGAGGTGAGGCGCAAAGCGCACTTGAGCGCAGCCGGTAAGAGCAGATCAAGCCCCAGATGTGCTGCTGCTGCTGCTGCTGGTGGTGGTGTTGCTGCCGTGGATGCCTTACTGCAGATCTGGATGAGTGCGCTGTGAATCTCATCAATGCGGGGTTCAAGCAGTTGCGCCCCCACGCTGCTGTTCACAAACTGGGCGGGAAATTTCAAGAATGCAATGCATGCGTAAGGCTTTTGAGTCGGCTCGAAAACACAAACTGTGGGAAGGGCAGGAATGCAATACACGGGGAAGGGAAAGCAAGGAGAGCGCTTGCTGTAGATCAAACAAGGGCCCCTGTGAATTTCGTCACTGTAGGGCTCAAGCAGTTGCGCCCCTTCCTATGCTGTGCACATGGGAAACTGCTGTTTGCAAACCTCCATGTATGGGAGATTCAGTGAAAGCGAAATGCATCTTATTCACCCCTTGCTGCTTGCAAACGTTGATTACGAAAAGGTGGAAACCAGCAAGGAAACAGAACCACAGGGGTTTAACATGCACGACCTGGAAAAAATATGGCGAGCTAGGAACACTACCTCTGATATGAGTTCACATGCTGCTAGTGCAGCCAGAGCGTCCCCTCCGTCCTCATTTGCACCTCCCCCAGATCTACCCGCACCAGTATCACCTCCCCCTTCTGCTCCAATTTCTCCCTCCCCTGCCACCCCTTGCAGCTGCTGGACCAATGGGTGGAGCAGATCCAGCTTCTCGACTGCTGACATGGCGTGCTGCGATTGGTTGGCCAGACGCAACGCCGCCTCCACCACTCGCTGCTGCACCTGGAGAGTGATGGAGGCGAAATGCATGTTCAGTGAAAATAGCCTGAAAATGAAGGATTTATGTAACAGCGGGAATATGGAAAATGTTATTAAATAACGTAAAAATGGAAGGATTAAAGAGAGGAACCGCCCCAAAACGAGGGAGCAGGGAAGAGAGAATATAAAGTTGTTGCTAAGGCAAAAAGAGAGTTTTCCAGGCGTACCTGAGAGTGTGACGAGCGTGTGAGCTTGTACACGTGATCACTGCTGAAAATGAGACTCTGGAAGAAATTGCGGGAACAGGAGGATTGTACGGACCAAATGATAACAAGTCATCTGGGAAAGAGTTAATAGTTATTAAAAGCACGTCAGCTTCTTCCAATAGCGTAGTACCAGGAGACACCCCACAAGGAAGCTCCACACTCGAAAAACGTACCGCATCCAATGACAAGCGGCAGAAGACAGCCCGCGAGGGACTTTTGAGTCGACTCAAAAGTCAAGGAAGCTCCACACTCGAAAAACGTACCACATCCAATGACGGGCGGCCTGTTTTGAGTCGACTCAAGACACCCCACAAGGAAGCTCCACACTCGAGAAAAACGTACCACATCCAATGACGGGCGGCATGTTTTGAGTCGACTCAAGACACCCCACAAGGAAGCTCCACATTGGAGTGTTTTGGAGTGAACATTGTGCAACGTGCAGGTGTTATGTGTAGGTGAAACACACGGATTTCGCAGGTGAAATTGTGGGAGAGCATGGTTTGTTGTGGCAACGATCTTGTGTCACAACACTTGAACTGATTGGTGGGCTGCTTGCTTTTGCATTTGGTAGGCAGTTAGATTAAATATGCGTGTGTGTTTCATTTGTAAGTTATCATTTTATGAATGAAACTTCCCTATCATCGTATTAACGTGAGGGGATTGCTTCACACACACCAAGTCATTATCAACCCACTGCAGCCGTGCTGGAGGAACGACTCTAGTGAATTTTGAAGAAGGCTATATTTGGCTTGCTCTTTATAAACACGGACCCTTGGATAGGGGCTGGTTTTACCCAGGCAACCAAGGACCCTCGGAGGTGACCCTGTGGAGCAAGTCTTGTATGCTTGCATCCCTATTCCTAGAGGATTATTAGTTTCGTATTTTATAACAGTTGACGGTCGTTTGAAGAAACCCTAAGAGCATTCCTGTGCCTTTTCCCGCCTAAGTAGCGCGTTAACTCTTATCGAGGTGGCGCACATCCAATGTACCACGTTACCTTATACAGAGGACGTGAGCAGGTGGCAGCAACCACCAAAGTCAACGTTTGAAAAATGCAGCGAGAGGTTGCATCGAGAAGTTACGACACTGAGGTTACACAAAGAGGCTTTGCCCGAGGTTTCTATAAGAGGTTACTTCAGATTAAGCACCTCTCAGGGTATTTATACTTGTTGCACTGATCTTTGTATTATCCTTATCTAATATACTGTTCTTACAGTACAAGGATCCCAACTCCTCCGCTGAGTTAAACTTGTTAAATTATATATTTTGTTATGTGATTGGTAGGCTTGGTAGGTTATCAAACTGTACTGTAGAGGGTACAACCCCCCTCCTTGTATGCCTCTCTCTTCCTTTCTAGTTCCCCTTTTCTCTCGACACTCTCGCCTACCTCCTAGCTAAACCCCGACGCCATTTCCATGGCAGCCTTTCCTACCTCCTAGATTTCCTAAGTTAACAAAACTCTCCCCGGTTCCATAGTATCCTAGTCCTTGGGTAATTCCTAATACGGGGGCACTACTTCTACATGGTGTTATGAGCAAGTGGAATTCACCGGAACCCACAACTCCCTCCTTAGGCTCCTCCTCTTCATCTCATTACAAGCATCTTTGATACGACATAAAATCTATTTTCTCCATGTCTGGCAAGGGGCCTTATGTCCATTTCACTATTTTGTTTACCTTAGGATTGGAAGTGATTATAGCTAATTGTGGTGCATTAATGGGAATGGGAGGACAACATGAGCAAGGAGATACCTCGAGAGTACCCAAGCCTACTCCTATTGGCAACACAATGAGCCTGGACAACTCTAACTACGCACGTGCTGCACTTGCTATGCCGCCAACTATCGGACGAGAGTCCGCGAGCTCCTTCACCTTCCATGGTAGCCCTGCACTTGGACAGCAATAGCAACAACATTAGCTGTACATCAAAAATCCGTTTCAATGCGCTACAGCTGTGGTCAATGTGGCGGACTTCCTTACCATCTCGAAGCTACAGACGGCAAGCGCCTTTGACGGGAAGGACTTCTCTACTTGGTGATTTGAATTTGAGCTGCCAACACAATGTTCAGGCATCTGGGGCTACTTGGATGGCTCCATAAAATATCTTGAAACTGGAAAACAAAAAGAAAATGGGCATGACTATCACCTCTCATTAATGGCATACACACTACTGGTGCAGAACCTCTCGTCTTCAGAGAAAAACAGCATGCGACCCTTCAAAAACTCACTTGCTCTTGCGTGCTATGCGTAGGATACCCTCTGAAGGATTCATCAGGCACAAGACAGAGTAACACAGCGTAAAATCCTCCAAAAAAAAAGAACTCAGTTCAGATGTTACCCGACAAAAAGGCCGAACTTGCATGACCTATTCCTTAGGAGCGGTAGAAGCTTCCCCAACGAACTCTTTGTTACCATGCTCCTCGCTGGCCTTGGGACTGACTAGCACACATACAAAGCCATCCTGCACACTCAAGGAACCATCTCAGATAGCGCATTCTTCACGACGCCCATTGCTGAACAGCAAGACATGAATCTGTACAGCACGCGCAACAAGACAAAAGTGGAGAAATTCAGATTTTATGCGGGATAGAAGAATGACTGTGTTGGACAAGGGGAGAATCGCAAGCTGCCCTTCTCCAAATCTTGCAAGAAGCCAGGCCACTTCATCGATGATTGCCGAAAACTGAAGGATCATCGTTAAACAAAAGTGCAGCCACGTCGCTCTGGAAGCTTTGCCCATGCGCCACGATGTACCATCTCCCCACCATCCATTGCCTCTTCCTCATCACGCCTTGCATACAACACACGACCCTTCGTCAACTGTATGATTTGCGCACATTGGACCGCTGGCATACGATACCATGCACACCATGGCGAAGTGAGCCATCCTGATGGAGACCGTCGCTCACTTGAGCCTCTGCCGTATCTAACTGAGTGTCAGCGCCCATGACCAAAGAAGCCCTCACAGCCGATGGAGATCGATGAAGAAGAAACTGAAGCTGAGGGCCAAGCCGTACCACGCACCCTCAACATCAAGCCATAAGCCCATGTCATGAAGCACAACTACCCTACAAGATACGCACATGGTTCCTCGACAGTTGCTGCGGACATCACACGGCGTCCTCCACTGCTACCTTCTTAACTGGAAGGTCCTTCTGGAACCTGAAAGGTACACCATCACAATAGCAAGCAACCAAGAGTTAACTGCAGTGGCACTCGGCAACTTACTATTGGAATCGGATGACACAGGGGTTTCGTTACATTTAAATAAGGTCATTGTTGTCGATGGCACCACCGATTTGGTCACCCGTCAGTCAAAGCCCTAAACAACTCAATCAAGGCCAGCGTATTCGACAAAGACACACCATCCTTGCCCAACGGGCAATAACTTCGACCAACATCTCGACAGAATGGCTGCACCATCTGTCCAATCGCTGGACTACCAAAGAGTCATTTACCTCCGAGTTTCCTCAGCGCACAACAATACCCGAAACTTGATGTTTCTCTCAGCGACATCTTGTTTATGAACGAAGAAGCTAGCAACACCAGCGGCGATCAAGAAAGGCCTTTGATGCCTTTAGTCTCTGGGTTTGCTTGGCGGATAGACAGAGCGGGTTGAAGCAAAGGAACCCCACACAGACAACGCACAGGAATACGAGAGTGACGTCTTCCAAGAGTAGGACTATCCCTTATGCTCATCAGCAGAACTGAATGGTGGGGAGAATGAGTCCTACTCGCTCAAGCACCCCTGCTAGCTGAATTTTGGACTAATGGGATGGCACAAGCTGTCATCATGCAAAACGAGCTGCCATGCACCGCCCTCCCACATCACTTCTCTCCACATCTTCTATGGACAGGGCAGCCCCCCGACACTAGACTTCTTTGAGTGGGGATGCTTAGTATAGTGCCGACCTCCAAGTGCCGCAGTGGGCAGATTCACTTACAAGGCAAAGTGGGGCATTCATTTGGGCATACCAAAAGATGCTCACACATGGATCATAATGGACTACGACAGCAACAAGGTTTTGTATGCCCTTGACTGCATCTTTTGTGATAAACTTTTTCTTTACGACTTTGAACGGGACAGGAAAGCTGAAGCAAATGCACCAGAATGCTGCATTGGTGAAAGGAGCTTTGCCACCCCCCAGGATGAAGCCGATGCTACCGAAGAATGTTATCCACAGCCGCCTTCTGCCAAGATCCCACCTGCACCATCTTTACCTACTGTTCCAGGTGAAACCGTTGGTCCTTCCGAACCATGACGACATGAACCACCACTATTCGGGCAATATACGCCAAAGGATTACTCTGGCATGCAGCCAACACCACTCTTCATCCCGCTATCAAATCCACGTAACCCCAATGCCACAGTCGAATCTGTCTATCACTACAAAGATGAGCCTCGAGACATGCACGCGGATGCCCCATCAAACGAGACAGTATGCCACTTGCCAGCCAAAATTACAGATGAGGACGACATCAAAGGGCACAGCCACCCACATCCACATGTTGCACAATTGGCCCTCTACATCCTCGATCGCTCTGTCATCGTTTAATCTTCACCGGTCGTGCTTGAACTGAAATTTATTTTGCCAAGCTCTACACTGATGCATCCAAATGGCATGTTGCAATGGATGCCGAAACGAAGGCCCCCGAGCATCGGAAAACCTGGACAATCGTTCCAAAAGTTGCCGCCCGAGGAAAGCATACGATTGTCTTCAGATTCAAGAGTGTCCCTGTTTGGTGTGGTCGAGGGCCTAACCTGGCAACAGTGGGGTGCACTACTTTGCCAACATTTCGAGCATGTATCCACATGCGAGAACGCGTGTGTGAAGCTGCACGGAAGGCATCAGATGGGATCTGTCCAAGAATACACATCATCCTTCCTCGCCATCTGCGACAAAATCGGCAATCTATATGAGACAGAGAAAGTGAATCGATACATTGTAGGGCTGAAACCAGAGGGGCAGCGAGAAATTCGCATGCGTTGCCCGACAACGTTAATGGAGGTATAGCATGTCGTAGAGGTGTGGGATGAGAACAGTGTCCTTATGAGGGCACGTTTTCGAGAGGGAAACCGTTTTCAAGGGAAGAACATCTACCCACCAATCAACGGTCTAACAGCATCGTCAGACCTGAAATTATGGGGACTGTGCTTTTGCTGTAACCACTTGGGCCACATTATGCGGGACAGTCCTCAGTCAAAGAAATTGGGAGCTAACGACATAAGGAAGTCGGGAAATGGACATAGTCAGTTGCAGCTGGGCCACCTACTAACGCGGATTCGTCGCCCGAAATTCACCAGTTCCACCGAGAAATAGTGTCCATCTATGCGATCGACCACACCCGGTTAAAGGGGAGTGAACCTGTTGATTGCCCTGTTCGGGTGGAAGGGAACATTGGCAACACTCGACTAAATATTTTTGTGAATGCAAGAGCGTTACGCGGTCTGTTTGATGTGACCGAGACGAAGAAATTGCGACTGTAAATGGAGTGGTGCATGCCCGAAATGGACGCGCGATTGGTTGACGACACACAACTTGCAATCCAGGAGCGCGTGGAGCATGTGAGGACCGACTGTAACAGTCGAGTCGACTTCGCCTTGAAAATGCTCGCGACAATGCTGGACTCCTGGGGCGCGATTGACAGGAGGAATGGCGACATTCTCTTGAAATGGGGAGACAAATGACGACGACTGTCGAAGTGGAAACCACCTGACCCCCAATCAACACTCATGAATCAAGTGACCATAAAACGAGTGATGGCTAGCGTATACGCCGTCCGATGGATCACATCTACGGCTAAGGCGGAGCAGACTGACCTCGAGAAGTTGTGTGTTGGAGTTACTGTGGACCACGTGAAGATCATGTGCAATTGCGAGAAGATATTTCCTGATGATGTACCGCCCGGCCTGCCACCTGAATGACCACACGATCATACCATCGAGCTGGAACTTGGAGCAAAACTGACCATCCTATCGAAATGGAGGCGAAGTCAGCCAGGATTAAGGGAGTTGCGTGAGCAACTGAATTGTCTCTTGGAGAAAAAAATTCATCTGCCCATCCACGTTACCCTATATTGTCCCCATTCTCTACACCCCCATTACCATGCGCTGAACAGTATCACTAACAAACCCCGTTACCCTATTCCGCGAGCCGACGGTCTCATCGACCAACTTCGCGGGGCCAAGATTTTCTCCAAAATTGATTTGCGAGGGGGTTACCACCAGATTCGTGTCGCTGAAGCTGATTTTTGAAAGGCTGCAATTCGTACCCACTATGGAAGTTACGAGTGACCGTCGGGCACTGACTACCAAACAACGACATTATTACCTAAAATCTGGTACTGATCAAATTTGGGTTCTCTCTTACTGCTTATTACAGGAGCTACTGATGCATGAGGTATACGACGCTACAGTGACGGAAGAAACTGTCCATATCTTGACCCTTTGAGATGTTAAAATGCATGTGTTTTTTCTATACCGACTCTTTAAAATAGGAGGCTTTAATTTACTAGTAGACTGCCTCCAGAGCAAGAAGAGCACATGTCATGCAGCCTGAAAGGGCATGTTTATTATTCAAAACCAACAACTACATTCACCAAGTAGTATTCGGACAATTTTGGCCAGATTTAAAGAAAGCATTTAACAATCCAAAATTAGTACCTATTCCACCTCCCCTTAGCCTTAACCATTGCCTTCACCCTCCTTGGCATACTGTTAATAAGCCCCCTGGACACATCCGCCCCAATCCCATCCCATGTCTCTTGCACCCGTTCCCAAGTCTGGAGCATCCCTGTGCGGGGAAGCTCATACTTGGCAAGCTCTCTTTTGAAATGTGCCCACAAGTGCTCTATGGGGTTGAGATCAGGGGAGGAGGAAGGCCACTTAAGGACTGAGTATTGCTGCTCAGACAGCCAAGATTGCACAAGGCGGCTCTTGTGCTTGGGGTCGTTGTCATGCTGGAAGATGACATCCGAGGGGGTTAGATGATAGAAATCGATGGCTTGTGCAAGCTCATCATGCAATATGCTTCTGTACAGCTCCCCATCCATGCGGCCGTCAATCTTACACATATATTCCGGGCCATCATATGTCATGCAACCCTATATCATTAGTGACCCACCCCCATGCTTGACGGTTTGCTGCACTTGGTGACCTTGCAGGGCTGCCCCGTCGTGTATCCACGCGAACTTGCGGCCATCATTGGAAAGGCGATTGATCTTGGTCTCGTTGGACCAGATCACCCGCTTCCAATCTTCCGTAGTCCAATCAAGGTGCGCCTTGGCAAAATCGAGGCGGTCTCTGATGTTTCGGGCAGAAAGACGCGGCTTCTTCGGTTTCTGCACGGCTACTAAACCAGACTGCTTCAGGGCGTTGCGCACGGTTCTAGGATAGATCTTGATGCCGCGCTCTGATTCTAGTAGTTCCGCGGCTTCTATGCTAGTCTTTGCATGGCCGGAAGTGACTGCTCGAACCAGTGAGCGCCTATCACGTACCGAGAGCATGCACGGTCTGTCGTTCGTAGGAACAATCGGCCTGACCGCTAGGCTACTCGTGCGCTGAGCGGCTTCGTGAGCGTATTTCTAGACCGTGCTCTTCCCTATTCCTAATGCCCTTGTGATTTGTCGGAAACTCCGACCCTGTCGAAGCAGGGTCGCGATCCTATATTTCTGGCTCGAAAGAAGCGATCGCATCGTCGCTAGGAGCTTGGCGTACTATCGAGAGGAAAAAAAAAGGTTAGGTTGCGAGATCGCGAAATGCAGACAGGAAAGAGACTTGGACTCTAAGTTGGCCTAAAGTGTCCGCATCGAGTGACAGCAACATATTACTGTACGCTTTACAAGAAACTCGATTTAAATTTCAACACCCAACTGTATAAACCAGCTAAGGTCAAGAGGCACACTATGCAATCTGTTGTTGTCGAGTTTTGACAACATATCACGCCTAAATCTCAATGTCTATCTACTGCAATGGATTTTTAAGCCCATTTATTTCCGTCACTGTAATTACAGTGAAAATGCTCCAACATCATTATACTGTCCAAATGCCAGCCATGACGTGCAGCAATACGTGGCCTCATGCCCCACCTGCCAGCTCATGAAATCCTCTAGCCAAAGGCCAGCTGGATTACTACAACCGCTAGAACCGCCCACAAAGCCCTTGACACAAGTATCCATGAACTTCATAACATGAGTGCTGTGGTCATGGTCGTTGATCGACTCACGAAAATGGCTCATTTCGCGTCATGCCGAAAAACGATCTCAACCGAGCAAACTGTCAAATTGTTCATCTCGGTCGTCGTTCGCATGCACAGAATCCTGAAGGCGATCTTGAGCGATTGTGATCCCAGAGTCACGTCAAATTTCTAAACAAAAGTATGGGAACAGTACGGCACATGTCCCCAACTGTCCACGTCTTACCACCCACAGACCGGCGACCAGACTGAACGTACCAACCAGACCATGGAACAACTGAAACGGACTTGTACCAAGTGAGAAGATTCTCTCCCATTCATCGAGTTCGGGTATAACAATGCCCCATCTTCCACGACTTTCCAATCCTTGCGATTTCTCAACTAGGATCTCAACCCCATGACTCCCACTACTCCCTTAGTTGGGAGTCTCGCCCCATAGTTACAACATTTCATTAACGATTTATAGAGAGCACAAAAAATGTTAGTTAGGCTATTTCCAAAGCCAACCTGACTGCCCGACGATACGCCGATAAGCATAGATAAGATTTGTCCCTGTCTCATAAGCAACTAAGCCTGCTTGATACTAAGAATTTATGGGTAAAGTTTGCCACACAAACTTCGTCCAAGATCTGTGGACCCGTCCGAATTGTTTCGATTGTGACACCAGTTACAACGAAATGATTGTTACCTAACAATTGGTGCATCAACGATTCCTTCCACGCCAGCCTCCTCTGACAGTTTGCTACAACCACATCTGATCTCGACCATCAATCCATCTATATGTTGATCAGACTCGTTCCTGAGCTAACTAACGAACCTCAACAATTTCTCTCCCACAAAATCTGTCGTGACCACAGTGAACGGGTTTTGGAGTTTCTGGTTCGCTGGGTTGACCGAACGTGTGACAACGAAATGTGGGTCCCAGCAGCTACCCTCAACAACGAGCCTCTAGTGCAAACCTATTTACAAGATTGATATGCCTCAGATGTGGGTAGTCTCATATAGGAAGGGGGAAGGTGTAAGGAAATTCAATTTGCTTAGCAAATCTTTGCTAACACCGCGCACATTCATGAACTTCAGAAGTTAAGGCTCGACCCGAAAACCAGCATCTCGAATTACATTCGAAACCCCCGAGCCTACACGAAGAGTCGCGTCCGACACTTCAGAGCCCCGAGGCGCCCAAACCATCTCGCGTGCATTTCATGGCCATCCTCGAGGCTCCCTTGATAAGTGCTTTGTGCCTCGCTTATATTCAATACACTAAGATCACTACCTTTATTGACTCCCATCCGAAGATTATCAGAACATTTTGATTTCTCTACATTCCTACTCCACTTGGCCTAGGATATTTTCTACGGTAGTATTTAAACGTCCTTGTCGGGAAGTGCCATTCTCAAGCCGGAATAGCCAGAGGCACACTCATTACGAGTCTCGGAAGTAGGTACAGCGGGTGCTCCGTTATCTCCAAATCCGCGATTCGCAAATATAGAGTATGGCTAATAGGGGCAGTGCGCAATGAACAAACTGGATAATAGAGTAGCACAAGGGATTTTAGGTGGGGTGGCGTAGGCCGTTTTGCTCGTTTTGTTCACGACAGGTGCCTTGGCGTATTGGCCATTTGGGCCATGTTACCAGCGATTGCGCCGCGTGTCATGTGAGGGGTTATGTGGACTCGTAAAAAACACTCAACGAATCTGTCGTCTTGTTAGAAACAGGCGGACAAAAAAAAGTCTCACCTCGTTCTCGAACTTCCCGCAAGAAGCGCAGGCTCAAAACGTGCAAAACAAATAATAGGGAAAACTCTTTTTGTGGTCTGACGAACGGGGCTAAATGGAACGAAATTTTGACGACTTTATTGAGGGAGTTTTTTTTAACCACATTTTTTTACGAAACCGAAAGAGACCCCCTTGAGAAAATCATTCTCAAGATGTACAGTTATTAATGGTGATTGAGGGAACAAGGGTCGTGTTTTTGTATTCGAGACGGTCCTGTTCGTGTCATGCGGGAAGCCATAATATTTGAGGGATTGGTTATATAAAATGGAAAATACCTTGAATGCTCTTAAAGCCGTTGGCTCAAAACGTGCAAGATTATTAATCATGACCGGGCAAATAGCGGGAAGGCATGACACGTCACTTACAACATGGCCGAGAGAGAGATGTGCAATTCTGGTTGTGCAGGCCGTGGTACAACTCAGATCCCAAAGGGTAATTTCGAACTTTTATGCGGTGGTAGACGGTTTGAATGTTTTCACAACGACCAAGCGTACTCGATAAGGTTTTTTTTTGCTAGTTCAAGTCTCTAACCTCAACTGATCCGAGATGTACCACGCCCTAAAAAAACTCTCGTGTACAGTGCGTCCTGCTTTCGTAGCCTAGGGCGTAATGGCGCTGGGCTGAGTTTGCACTTCAAAAGTCCCAAAATGTATGGGCGGAAGTTTCAAGTTTCTTTCCGCTCATACCCATTGTGTGACGGGGGCAGGGACAGAATCGGTTAGGGGTGGCGCAAAATCATGGGCTGTTTCCCGTCGTTTTGGTGCATGACTTAGGTTATTGCTCTCGCTTTAGGGAACTGGGTTACCAATCGGAGGGTTTCAAGATTATTAATCTTGAAAAGCAATTTCTGCATTTTGGGTCAACGGCTTTAAGACGAGGATTTGAATCGGACTGTAATTGTAAGACAGAAGCTTTGCCTACTTAGAACTTACTGGTTGTCCAACTGGCGATATTTTATTAGCCGTTGGGTCGCCATCTGGATTGTGACACTAGTTATTACGACGGAGTATGGCGGTATTGGACTTCGCGAAAAATTATATGGACTTTCGTCCAGCCACTCTCAAATCGCAAGGAGCCTCGTCAGAAAATTCATTGGAGACGGGGCATTTTCCGACGTTGACATTACGTACCCCATACGATCGGAGTACAGCGTGCTGGATCCTACCGAATTATGGACAATGAGATCGTATCTGAACAAAAATTTCGAAGATTTAATGGCATATCCGCTGTATGGGGTGCAGTGTTCGCCAAGCGCATGTGCTGCGGTTCACGTTACGCATTAAATACAAACAAAACAAACTACAGCATAGCAAAATTACTGTGAGACTCGGTTCGCGCTGTCTCGGTGATGGCCCTTCACGGTCTGGTGGTTTGACCATGTGAAAATACTGGGGGAAATGTTTTACTAGTATTTTAAACCAGCCCAATTTATCCAAAACGTTGCCATCCATTTCAGGCATTTAAATTACCATGGGCCAGGTGTAGGACCCTTCAAGCGACAGGGCTGTTTTTAAAAGTTTTAAACCCGAAATAGTGACATCCGAGAATAATAGGAACCTATCGTAACCGTTGAAGTTTTTAGATAACGGTTGCGATGAGTTTCCAGCATTCTCGGATGACACTTTTTCGGGATAAAACATAATTCAAACACGCGTTTACCCTTGGTCACAGAATCAGGGCAGGTTTTTGTGTCGTGTCAGCCGGGGGTGTCATAACAAATTTGCCTCTGCGCTAGGCTCGGCCGAGCCTATCTCACAGGCACATGTTGTACTGTAGGACATTTGTGGATGACACGACACAACCACCAGTCCTCAGATGTGGGGCTAAGCAGAGTGGGCCATGATGACTAATGAGCCTGAAGGTTAACACGTGTAAATCGTCTGCAGGACAGTAATTGGTTCGTCAGCGTGGTCCTTCTTCCGTTCGAGGGACCCGCAAGCCAATCATCTTGGTCGCAACTTTTCACTTGGCGAACGCCCTCGTCACCCTATTTTTGGGCCCATAACCCCTGATATTTCTTGCGTGACAGAGTGGCACGATTTGCAATCGTATCAGAGCCTCTCACATGTGTGTTATGCAACTCATGATAATGCTGCTCCCTGAAGTCAAGTAAGCCAAATCTGACAATTAGTGAAGACAAACACTTGCTGCTCCATTTTGGGTTCGCCTTGCTTTGCTGTACAACTGACGCCTTCTAGAGTTTCAGCTCAATTTTGGGCGGGTAATCCTGTGTCGGACACAAACAGCGATGCTGCTCAAAAGGGTGGTCTGCGCTGTTGTGTGTGTGAATATTGGTACAAACAATACTCAATTGATGCAACAACACGGAAGAAACAAGCTAGCCAGTCGTCGCAGGCCATGAGCATCGCCGCATGAACCGAACGCTGACTTGGCAGCGAAATTGAGTCGCGATGTCCCGATGCCAGGGGCGTTCTCAAATTTTGACAGCCAACCCAGGAACAGACTCGAGAACGAATTCCCACAATCGCTACAGCAGTTATTTTCGCGACACGAACCTTCAGTTCGTAATGTAAGAAATCTTTAGGACACGCCCCTAACGTTTGGAACTGAAATGCGGCTCCAAACCCCCGCCACATTTCACTGAGTATAAAAGGGAGCAAACCAAACCAGAGAAACTCACTCAACATCTCACCCACCAACCACCACTCCAGTGCTACACCAGAGAAACTCACTCTCGCATGAAAGCACCGAAAATTAACAGGGTAACTAAGTGAACAATTGCTTGCCAAAATATTCCACACAAACTTACCTCGCAAAACATCAAAATGGTAACCTTCGTGCCCGTGCAAAAGGCACGTATGCCCATAACGATGCTTTGCGAAACCCCTGCGCATTTTGGTATACCGGCATTCTGAAAAGTTGTGTTCCTCTGTCCGGCTCAAGGTGTATAATAGGTTTAATTTTTTCCTGCGTCCATCGTTGCCTGCGGGCAGGTGAGGAAACTACACACGAACGGCATGGAAATATTTTTTTACACCTAGCCCGCGTTATTTTCACACCCTGTATTTTCATAGGGGGAACCTACGAGAGGGTATTAACCCCCCTGAAAGTAGCTCCTGAAGACCGGATCCGGATACCCTTGAAAAACAATTTGAACTTGAAGTTCTATACGAAATGTTTACTGCTCGTTTTAGTATTTCTCGAGGCACGAAACGCGACGTCATCTTAGGCAGTGCTCAAAGTTTTTTTCTTGCATGGATTCTGCCATGCTTAGGCCGTATGGACAAGGGGGTACTGTCTACGCACTCAGAAATGGTATGGGTGGAAACAGAAAATGTTCTGCCGTCTATTTGCAGGGTGTAAAAGTACCGCTGGCTAGGTGTACAAGCAGTTGGTTCGGACTTAGTACAGTTTGACCGAATATTACATTTTCGTCGTTCCTAAGTACAGTTTGACTGAAAATGACATTTTTACATGCTACCCATCAGATTTTCACGTGAAACTGTACGACAGCAGTTGCGGCGGGGGGGTGGTCGAGCGCTGAACACATGTCAATAGGGTAATTTTCCCAAATTGATTGAAAATCTAAGATTGTTTCGATGATGACCCTTTGTTTTAAAAGAGTTTTTCCAAGCCAGCCCTGAGAGAATCAGGGGGATTTATATACTGACTCGTAGGAGTTTGGGGTGGTTTTAAGGGGGGCCGGACATCTAGTTAGCCTCCAGGGGGTGTAGGACTCTGTCAAACTTCCCGTTCCCTTTCACCCTTAGCCCAACTCTTTCCTCCCATTTTCCCTTAGTTTAGCTGTTGGTTTTAGAATGAGATGACAGGAACTATTGTTCACGCCACTTTAAATGGTCCCATCCCTCACACCCAGAACCCTATCTTCCCAGCCCCCAGCCTATATATAGTACCTTCACTTGGGTGATTTATCTGTAGCATAGGTGCTGGTGAGGGTGTGGGTTTCCTATCCCACCGCGAAGTCGCCCACTGGTACTCTCACTATCTTGTCCAGCAAAGAAGGGTTCTAACCTTGCAGGTTTTAATCACGGACCCTGAAGAATCAGGGTAAGTTTCTGACGAGGTCGGATTTTACAGGAAAAGTTTCATTGTGGCCCGGATCGTCCGAGATGGCGAAAAACCTAGCGAGAGCCCTGGTCGAGAGATCCTACGCGGTTATAGCGGATTGCAGATTACAGGATGCAACTGGTTCTGCATTTGTTCCCTTACCCACCTTCAGTTGTCAGCCATTTGGCCCTCAGGATGCTTCTTTCTAGAAGAGTTCCCACTTTCCGTTCAGCCGCTCCCTCCCGAGCCTGCGTCAATCCTTGATCAGTGCCTGTGCAGCCTGGCTGGGCCTTTCACCGAAGGAAATTCCTTGGCAAGGGTAGCGGTGGTAGACGGCGACTGCACAAGACCAAAACGTCAATCAAAGAAGCCAAGTGCGAAGCGAGTGACTATGGAGGCAAGATCCGCGTCTGCTCTTAGCAGCATTTTTCATCACGAGGTGGCTGTTTTTCTGTGATAGCGTGCTAGTATTCACCTAACTACTGCTGGGAGCCGCCGCGGCCATGCCGCATTCCTTAGACGCGGTCGGCTCGCCGTCCCGATCCCAATCCTCCTCGCTCGCCGTCAAGCCATGGTCGGCAGAGGTGAGTCCCCCCTCTCAACTGGGTACCAGTCCTGGCGTGCCCAGCAAATTTCGGTTCGGAACCCACATCTGCGTGGGGGAGTTCTCGCGAGCAGATGGGCTCTGTCAGATCCGCCGGATTGTTTTGGAGTAAGCCGTGGTCCGCCGCAGAGGCGACCACCCATCGCAAAAAAGTGGCAATCTAAAAACCATTCGAGGTGGAGCGAGGATGCCGACTATCTGCAGAACATTCAAATACCATTCGCAGAACGTTCGCGTAGCATTTGGCAGGGTGTAAATGTAAAATGTATGTTTTGCAAAAGCTACGATTTCTAAACCCTATGATTTCAAAGCGATAAGCGTCTGTCCAATCGTAGTACACTCCTGTGTTTTTTTTGTTATGTTCGAACGTAATTGTTTATGTATGGAATATATCATGTGTGGGAAATAAAAATGATAGGGTTTGTTGATATATTATTAGTGGGGTCATCACCTGCTGCGAGCACTGTGAATGGTTGTCGCTGCAAACTAAAAGTATCATGCTCAGTACGAGTCACTCAATTGTCAACCTCTAAGACAAGGTCAATTTAAACAAAGTCATGCATAAATAAGAGCGCAACCGGTGGTTCAGAAAAGAAACCGGTTAACGAGCCGGTACTTCGGGTCCGTGCAGCACGGAACCACATGTGCAAGGCTCAGGATGCTGTCCACGTCCACAACGGCATAGTTGTCGATGCCCAAGGTTGGCGTCAGGCGCTTGCACCCGGTGATGGGGCAAGGCTTCTGCGCCTCGGTGTAGTACTGGATGAACGCCCCGCGCTTCTCCACCTCCCCATCCTGGTAATGGAAAAGCACCAGGACACGACCATACCACGGCTCCCCCACGCCGCCGCCAGGCCTGATCGAGACGTCAGAGAAGAGGCGCTCGTGAGGGCTCGCCTTCACGAACTGGCCCTTTGAGGTCCACTCCATGCTGTCATGGGGGGGGATGGCCATGGCTGTGTGGACCTGGGTTTAGGGTAGGGGGCAATGGGGGGAGTTCAGGGAAGGCGGGTGGGTGTAGAGAGGGGGCACGAGTGTGCCTTGAATTATCGTAGATGGGAGGGCAGCGCTTGGCAAGGAGGCATGGTACCATGGCACATGATAGTCATATTGTATGATTAGACGGATTGAGCTCAGGAGGGGATAGAGGGGAGACGTGGACAGAGGGGCCACGGTAGGGTTTAGGGTGTGGAAAAAAGAGAGCCCGGTCCCACCAAATTGCTGCCATTCCATGCCATTCACTGGCCAAACCCCACCAATCCCACTGGTACCGCTCCCAAGGCCCCCTCCCCGTCCCACTTGACTCATTCCTTGCTATTCCCTGACTCTCTCTCCAAATCCTGCGAGAGCTTGCTGTTCGCGGCCCTTTCCCTCCCACTCCCACTCCCATTCTCAGTGATTCCTTCCTACCCCGTTCCCTCCAATTCCCCCCCATCCCCGTGCATTCCCTCCTATTTCCTCCCATCCCCGTCCATGGCCTCCCATTCCCTCCCATCTCTGTCCATACCCTCCCATTCCATGCCATGCCCATTTATTAAATGGGACCCTAAGAGCTGAGGTAGCCAAGTAGTCAATGCAGTCTCCCATTCCATGCCATCCCCATCCATTCCCTCCCATCCCTGGGATACCCTCCCAGGCCATGCCATCCCCGTCCATTCCCTCCCATCGCTGTTCATACCCTCCCATTCCATGCCATCCCCATCCATTCCCTCCCATCGCTGTCCATACCCTCCCATTCCATGCCTTCCCAATCCATTCCCTCCCGTCCCTGTCCATACCCTCCCATTCCATGCCATGCCCATACATTCCCTCCCATCACTGTCCATTCCGTCCCTTGACCTTCCAAGCCATACCACTCCCTCCCACTCACGGCCATCTCCTCCCTGCCATAAGGTGCCCAGTCACCCTGCCACTCCCTGCCCCGCCCTCACGTTCCATCCCAATCCCCAAACCCATGCCTCAGGGTCTAGTTAACGTACAAAGATTGTCCGCGTCTTAATCTTGGCGAGGCGAAGGCGCTCCTCCAGTTCGTGCATCGCCAGCACCCCCGCGGTCCTCATGTAATTGCGGAAGACAGGATCCCGTGTGTCCCCCGCTTCCATCTTCTTGTGGGTCTTGGTGAGGACACGCTGGTTCCTCAGGGATGCCTGTGCCGTGTATGGCATTTGGAGGATGGAAGCGGCAGTGGCGTGTTAGGCACGAGGTTGTTACGGGGTTGGCTAAGGGGTAGGTCCGTCTATACACTTGGAGAAATATGGGAATAGGGCAGCTAGGGTACCTGGAAACGCATGGAGTTCGAATCCCTCCACCCCTTTGGCCACCCATCAAACCGCTCCATACCTGCTTCATGGCCGTCTCGTACGACGCGTCGCCCCCGACCTCGCGGGTTAGCTGACGCACCACAGCGTGTTGGATGTGCTTCTTGACGATGCGCTCCCCCACATTCTTCCAGTTTGACCCGCGAGATGGCCTCTTCACTGTTGTTTTGTGTCCGTGCTCGTAGCAGTTCGATGAGTACTCCTGGGGGACGCCGCGTGCCGTGATAGAGGAGGTGACGTGGCTGACGCCATGTATCTTCACGATGTGCCACTTCGACTTCTGGTTGTCAAATGCCACCTCTAGTAAAGCCACCATCCTACTAGGGAGCGTGCACGGATGGATAGTGTGAGACGTGCAGAGGGGAAAAGGTTGCACAAACGCTTCAAAAGAGGTGACTGACACGGGGTGCGAGGAAGAGAAACTCTAAAGGGTTTAGGGTGGGGGAAGGGAACCAGGTTCTGGACAGAGGTAGAGACGAGGTAGTGGAGAAATTCCCACCCAGGGTTGAAGTGAATTTCATGAGGGAATCATCCTGGCTGGCCGTCCAACCAGGGGATGTTATATGGTGAGCTAGCACGGGAAGGGCAGACCCTGGTTGTGTGGAAGACCAGGGAGGAAGTAGGGAATTAGGGAGTGAACGGACGCACCGGATGAACAGACCCTTATTGACCTGTAGACCAGGGGAGGATAGAGGGATCAAGGGAGCGAAGGTAGGGATTAGAGTGTTAAGGGTATACCTTATTCGAAAGAAGGAACAGTGGGGGAACGACGGGACCAGAGGATGTAAGGGAGGGACCGGAACGAGTAGGGCAGACCCTGGTTACATACGTTACCTGTGGTGGACGGCGGGTCTGGGGGGATGGGCAATGTACCAAGGGAATTAGGAGTAGAGAAAGGGTTTCAGGGGGGACCATGGGGGTGAAGGAATGGAGCAGAACGGAGAAGGCAGATCCCACCTGAATGAAGGACCACGAGATTAAGGAGGGAGCAGAACGGGATGGGCAGAGTAGAAGAGTAGGAAGGGAGCAGAACGGGATGGGCAGAGTAGAAGAGTAGGAAGGGAGCAGAACGGGATGGGCAGACCCCGCCTGAATAAATGACCAGGGGATGGAAGGAGGGAGCGGTGGATGGAAGGAGGGACCAGGGGATGGAAGGATGGAGCGGGGGATGGAAGGAGGGACCAGGGGATGTAAAAGCAGGGGACCATTGTAATAGGGAAGGATCAGATGACTAGTGCACGGGGTGGGGACGATATACAGTGGAACCAAATGTCCCAGTGCGTGAGCCGACTCACTCTGTGGCGGACTCGTCCATCTTCTTGAGGCTGGAGTCGGTGTGGTACTCCGCACGTATGAACTGCTTGTACCAACTCGTTATCGCCAGGACCGCCTTGTAGATGTCGTCGCGGCCCGGAAGATACAGAATCAGCGGGAGCACCTGCATCATAGCACGGTGCTCTGATGCTGCGAAACCCGCCGTCGTAGTGAAGTACATCCACGCCCCTGGGAGCCTGAGCAGGAATGACGGCGTCACAGCCTTCAGAGCGTTGAAACGCCTGCCATGAGTGTGAGAAAGCGGGTGGGCATGGATGAGTGGTCTGGGTGGAAGAGAGCCTCCATGGCCAAGCGTGTTTGGGGCAAGAGAGAGCAACCGGGCACTACGTACTCAAGCAAGATCTTCCGCTCCTTCCTCGTCAGCTTGGCAGCCAAGCACCGCATCGCATGGAGCCAGAAGCCCTGTTCAATCATGTGCATGATGTCTGGCGGAAGAGCAAGGTAGATGTTGCCCCACGAAGTGGTTGAGAACTCCCACTTCCAAAGCACACACTGCACAGCAGACACGATATGAATGCAAAGGCAGGAATGCATGGGCATGAATGCAACGACAGGAATGCAAATACAGGAATGCAGGGGCATGAATGCAAAGGCGGGAATGCAAAGACAGGAATGCAAAGGCAGGAATGCAAATGCAGGAAGGCAAAGACAGGAATGCAAAGGCAGGAATGCAAAGGCAGGAAGGCAAAGACAGGAAGGCAAAGATACAAATGCAAATGCAGGAATGCAAAGACAAGATTGCTTACACAGAAATGCAAGGGTTGGGATGCATGGGACTCGGTCAAAGGGCAGGAATGCAAGGGCATGAATGCAAAGACAGGAATGTTATGGCATGCGGGTACGGAGCTTACAGCAGCTTAGGAAACGCAGTGCATGGGCGACCTACAGGCACTTGGTGCGTGGACCACTTGGCCTTAAGAGCGGCCAGCTCCTTCTTCTTCTTGGCTCGTACTGCTCGCTGCATCTTCTTGTAGATGAGCTTCTGTCCCTTCACCGTGCGGTTGATAGTGTCCGGCTGGACCTTGTTCAGGTTGTCCCGATCCACAAGGCAGATGGAGCAGGGCCTGAAGGACTTGCACTGCATCGTGCAAGAAACCTTGCACCCCTCCGGGTGATCAGTCACATAGGCATAGAGCACCGGGTAGACCGTGTGCTCCCCCCCCGCATGATCCACCACCTGTATCCCCCCCCTGGAAACCGCAAAAGTAGCATGCAAGGATGAGAGCCGCACTGGGGATGCTGGGGGGTACAACATAGTCGTTGCATTGCTACACGACATCTCACCCGTCAAGCTGGGATGTCTCCATGAGCGGGTTTGCCACAATGTCCAGCGCATCTTGGAAGGCGGCACACTTCTGTTCGGGGAACAGGTCACCAGGAATGTTAGGCAGATTGCCTATCATCTCCGTGCCCCCCTCCGCCCACCTTGCCCACTCCGGCGTGTTTGCGAATGCCATCATCATGGGGTGGGCTGTCTGTCGGCC